GGGAAGGCTCGTGCTAAATTTATTAGAGTATTTCCAGGAAGAGAAGGAAAACAGCGGTCCCTTGCGTCCGAAGAGTCTGCGCAGTGTTCCGGCCGTGGTACGGTGACTCAATCTGTTTACTTATTTAATATGGCGTTGATGACTTAACCGCCAGGAATGGTGACTACAACTATAGCGTTGCACTAAGATTCATGTCAAAGGTATTTGTCTCATTCTGTTACTCACCACCTTACATACACTCTTATGGATGTACATACCCAGCAGACAGGGAAACCTACTATTGATTCCTCTGTCTATTGTTCTCGTCACTTACCTTGCTTGAATTGCAATCCAGATGTCAGCTGCAAGTCTTTCGCAGAGAGCATCATGTCCTGTTTTCTCTGGCTCAGCAGTAGTCTATTCGTTAAATAAAAACATGCATCTTCCATGTCTGAAATAACTGCTTACGAGTGCCACCTCATACATTGTCAGAGCATATTTCATAATATGGGTCATGAGGATGGAGTCATGCTGGCATCTGCAACTGTTCCCAGAAATAACTGAAAGTGCTGATAACTGATGCGTTTTTTAATTCATGTATGCGCAACCAGGCCTTCCACAGAAAACTCTTCGTCCATTACGAGCAATAAAGAATACATAAAAAACATGTATGTTGACTTCGAAGGCAATATGTATCTATCAAGTTCTGCCAATTATTCAGAATAGTGTGCCACAGGGTACCTATACTTGGACCGATTCTCTTCCTCTTATTTGTCAATCAGATCGCAGATATTATGTCCACCATTATACTCTTATATACAGCTAACCTTTTGAACTCACGTGACCTTTTTCTTAACACCGAGAAGACAGAAGTACTCAGATTCCACAATTACCAGCGCAAGATTAAGTTTAAATGTCAATAGTTCAGTACAAAATACCCTTTATTAATGTGTTTGAGTTAGACAAGCCACTGTAAAAGATCAATATCTTATTGTGGTTATGTTTTTAGAAATCGAAGAAATAAATGAGTGGGACTTCGTTATGGCATATGCTTGTGGTGTAGCTCGCCCCACACAAGTGAAGTGTTTGACCCTCAAAGAAGATCATAAAAAGTATCCCATTACGAATGTAACCAGAGTAGAGAGACTTCTAAATTTTGGAGTACTGACATTGACTTCTTAGTATACTAGAAATAGCCTTTTATGTATTTTCAAATAGGCACACACTTTTTGTAAACTGTGATATTCATACGCACAATAACAGAATAAAAATTATTACGAATTTTCTATTTTGAACTATAAATCCAGCCAATTATCACCAAAGTATTTAGGATTAAAATTTTTCAATAATCCATCCGATAAGGTAAAGTCAATAACAAACGTGAGGTTCTTAAAACGAAATTTAGGAAGGGTTTTGATCGATCAGTGTTTTTATAGTGTTGAAGAGTTTTTCTCTTACAGACATTTTTAATGTTTGGAGGCTTTGCTTTTATTGTCATTTATTTGATCTTACTGTTGTGTTACTGATACTTTGTCCCCAGAATTAAGTTTTACGGGCAATTCCTACATGTTTCTTGTGACATCAACAGGAAAATAAAGAATTTGAATTTGAACTTACTGAAACTCGTTTTAGAAGACAAAATACAATACTCAATTAGTAATTTTGAATAGCAGAAAATATTATTCTTAAACCACAAAAGACTACAAAATACCTGTATTTTTTTTAAAACATACTTAGTGACATTAGAGGTATTTCACGTAGACAAAAATAATTATTTAAACTTGGCAAGAGGTAGTCTTACATCAAGAATGAAGCGACAAAGTTATACATAAACAACTAGGCTTGTGGTTTTCTGGATTAGCGATAGTTTATCGGGTTTTTCCAAAGTACCGCACTTCTATACAGATATGTGTTTCGATAAAAAACTAAATCTAACAGAGTTGTTTCCGATAGCTAGAAAGTATTCAGCAAGGAGGCGAAGATATATAGATATTCAACAGTTCGAACTACCAGATTTTCTTAAAAAGAGGGCTCCGAGATTTCAGTTTTCATCAATGTTGTTGGTCGAATATTTGAGAAACAACTTCGCTCGTAATACAAACCTAATCTGCGGTGAAAGAGCACGGAAATCGTAAAAAGGAAATTGAAGAAAAATACTCACTATTCCCTCAGCAAGGGATAGCAAGTACTGCCCTGTGACATGCTTTGCTTGTAGATAGAGCTTGAAGTTGTCTTGCTTATTTAGCGCTGCCTAGATCTTCTACTGTGTCCACCCAAATACTTTTCACGCGATATAAATAAAAAGAGGAGACACTAGGAACACTTGCTTATTATCACCTGGCCTATACGCTCTGTAACTAAAAATCCAAACTATGAGGTATACATTTGTTTGGCATTATTAGTGGCTTTAATAACAACCATAATAATAAAACCGAAACAAATAAAGGCAAAAATACCAATTGTCCTTTCCAATATATTTTATAACATCTAAAAATAGCCTTTTCAGGGCTCCTCTAGGCAACTTATCACAATGCGCATTTTATAATAAATAATTTTCATCTGGCCATCAAATCGGCGAGGGTCGAGCCTTTTTTGTGCTCGTAAGAATATTCATGTTTTACTACAAGAAGTTATTCTCAGTAGGACCTCTATTGCCAAAACTCATACCATGTTATTCACAACCACATGTTGAATAGCGATAACCATATATTTGCCATCAAAAATCGCGACCTGCAGCTGTGATGAAACCCAAAAAATACCATCCATACATATTTATATTCCCGAAAAATTCCTCCTTTATATCGACTGCGCATAAAAAACGGCCACAGAGCACATTTTAAGCTCCTAATATCATGCACGGTGCCGGTTTTGTGCGATGGTACATGGCCTTTCGCCACGCAAGGTACCACGTCATGCGAGCATTTCGAAAACAGTGTCCGATCGTACCCCCTGCAGGTAGTACCGCATACACTCGCTAAATTATCGTGGCAGCGACAACATGTTGCACCGCGACGTTGGCCCCATAAAGTACCGCCCGCCATACTGTCGCGTCGACAGGGCACTATATCATATCGCTTGCCAAGTGTCGGGAATACATTGTGAACAAGGAAAATGGAATCAAGTGGACTGACTTGGTACCACCCACACAAATGTTTTTAGCATCGGACCAAAGTAAATGTGCCCACTCACAAAACAGTAATAACTGAAAATAGCATATTTATACAGGGTGTACCACTTTAGTCTTCCCAGCTTCCCTTAAATATTTAGGAAGCGTCAAACAAAAGGTGGCAAGCAATGGTGACCTTAACCATGACCTTCAAGGTCATTTCAAAGTCAAGCGAATATCAACCGTACCTGCAAGCATATTTCAAGCTAAACTATAGGACATTGTAAACAACTTGCTCTAGCAAGAACGTCCGAAGGCACAGTTGTGAGGTTTGTGAAGGTTACCGAAAGGTGTCCTTGAACTTCACCTTCACTATCACATACAAGGTCAAGTTAAAATTTTCAATAGAAACCACTCATATTATCCTGGAGTAGGAAAAGCGGCAAACGTTACGACCGAATGTGAGTTTGACATAAAGATCAAGTTTATATCAATCTTAAACGTTATGGCAAAATTGCAGAGCAAGAAATTTCATACTTAAACGTACAAAACTTTTACATAAGTCTAGAGGTGATGTTCTAGGTTACAGTCAAGGTCACCTTAAGTGACCGACACAAATCTAACAGCTGTGCTGTCGATCGTTTTTCATATAGCAAATTGTTTTTTGTGACTTTGTCCTTGAAATGGCCTGACATGTTATTAAGGTCAAGGTCAAATTGGGAATTAAAGTCTATCATCTAATTCAGCTGTAAAAAAAGGATGGTTTAACTTGAAAATATTCTTTTGATCTTGTCGGCTTTGGGGTCGCCATTAAGCTCTTTGTCAAGGTTACCAACATTTTGGCCCCTCGAAACCCTACAGCTTCTGTTCAGTACTTTCTTCTAGGAAGCGTAGTTTTCGAAATATCTAGGTGAGGGGAATAAAATGGGACGCCCAGTAGAGCAGCGGTCGCCAACCCGTCGATCGCGAGCTACCGGTGGCTCGCACAGGCAATTTTGGTGACTCACAACATATTTGAAAAGAAGCATCCATAAATTTTGTAACTTCTCGTAATAAACACAAGCAGCGGCAACACTGCGGTGAGCGATCTGTTCGAGAACGATCTCGATTACTTTGAACGGAATAAATACACAAGGCGCGGCGACAGTGCGCTCAGTTTAAAACTGAACGGCATAAAGTCCAGCCGGTTGGGTTATAGTTGGTCTGCAATTAAAAACATTATGAGCAGCACTAAGAAGATGAAGACATACCATTTCCATTTGGAATTGGAACAACAATATTTTTTTACAGAAGATAAAATTGAAAATGTACGTTTGTTATGTAATACATCTGTTTCCGTTGCTAAAAAAGGGAATATCGAGAGGCACTATAAAGCTGTACATTCGAATTTTGAAAAATTATACGCATTATATTCTGCAACCAGAACGGAACAACTAAAACAATTAAAAAATCAGTTAATTGAACAACAGGCAATGTTTTTAAAAACAATCGACAAAGGTAGGGCTGCAACTGAAGCATCATACCGGGTGTCCCAGATACACAAAAGAAGAAACCATAGGAAGACAGGGAAATGATAAAACAGGGGTTTTGAGTAGCTGCAGATTCATTATCTGCCAACTTTAGAAATAAAGACGAGACAGTGTCTGCTATAAGATCTATGCACCTTTCTGCTAACATAGTGACGAGACGAGTAGAAGTGATGAGCAACAAAATAGTTTTACAGTTGAGAAATAATTTCGATAACTGTGCTTATTTTTCACTGCAGATGGCCGTATTCGTTAGGATGGTTCTTAGTACTTTTACGATTAAAGAAGATCTTTGGAAGTTTATTCCACTAAAACGACAGACTACTGTGCAGGACTTGTTTCCCTGTCTTAAAAATATTATTTCTTCTGAGAAAATTCCAATATCAAAAATGGTAGGATTGACAACCGATGACGCTCCAGCTATGGTGGATCGTGATAAAGGTCTCGTGGGATTATGTCGTAAAGATGAAAGTTTTCCTCAACCTGTCTGTTACCACTGCATCATCCATCACCAAGCATTATGTGGACATTTTCTAAAACTAAACAACATTATGAAATTGGTAGTAAAAGTTGTGAACAAGATTAGAGCTGAAATGTTACAAAGATGATTATTCAACTCCTTGGCCGATGAAATTGACTGTCAATACGGGGAACTACTTCTTCACTCTGAAGTCCGACGGTTATGTAGGGACGAGTCTGAAATGTTTTAATGATATTATATCTTCCATCGTTCAATTTTTCTAACAACGTGATGAACCGATTCCGGAACTGGAAAATTCAATCTGGCTCAGAGATTTCGGTTTTCTTGTGGATATTACGATTAAGTGAACTTAATTTGCAACTCCAGGAGAGAGACAAAGAACTAGCAGAAATGATTCCTTATATAAAAGCGTTTATCGAAGAGTTTGCGTTTTGGAGACAAAACAATCGAATATATATCTCTAAGTCCATTAGAACCATATGACAGTAAATATCATGCAGAAATAGTCTCTAACTTGAAGGATAACTTCTAAAATCGTTCCAAGGATTTCAACGAAATTGCTATAGTGGCGCAATTTGCTGTTTCACCCTTCCTGGAAATCGATATCCAACAGTTTGCATCTTCTGTTACCCAGAATTTTAGCGAAGACATCGCTGCGACAGAAATGTGATTGCGTTTCAAAATGATTTAGCTTTAAAATCATTAGTCTCGAATACAAAATGTATCTGGACTTTAATAGGTAAAGACAAATATTCCGTTTTATGTCGTGTTGCAATGGAAGCGAAAGCGTTATTTAGCTTAACATATTTGTGTGAATCTTCTTTTTCAAATATGAAGTTTATTAAAAACAAATACCGTAATCGACTTACAGATGAACATATGGATAATTGTATTCGAAACATTAAATAAATTGACAGTAAGTTTGACTGTCACGCTTGTCATTTGCATGCATTTTTATCGGGACATGTTTTTGTCTTAAATAGTTAAGTTTATTAGTATGTATGTGTGTAAAATAAACACATGTATGTCGCATACAACTGTGTTTAACCTCAAAAGTAGGCTCACATTGCTTATGTCTAGGTAGCTCGCTGTTTATTCCAAAATTATCAAACTAGGTCAACCCACAGAAAAGGTGGGCGACCACTGCAATTGAGGGATAATGGTAACAGACTAACTAAAAATCTAGAAATGGACCTAATAAATATACTCGTAGTCGATTTTTTCTAAAATGTATCTCAAATTAGCGAAAAATTATACAATTTGTGTAAAAAGGATCTTTAATCCCCATATTGAATCAAGAAGTTCTTTATAAAGAGCTTGGTTTAGCTACAAAAACATATTTCTTTCAGTTGATTCGGAGACCACAACCTATGATCTGGATCAACAATAGGCAATTAGAAAGCCAATCGGAGAGGAGCATTTAATCCCTGCCCGAATCGTGTAGCAAATCTGATATAATGCCTAGATTGATATGTCAGTTACTGAGCACGTTAAAGAGAAGAACAGTGTATTATTTACCTGAAGGAATACCTTTAGAAAAAGGACATATTTTAAAAAATGCATCAACGTGTCGATTGTTGAATTGCTACATATTTTAATAAAAGTATTGCGGTATGCATATTAGGCATGCACGCCTCTTGGGAAAAATAACACAGGTAAAATCTTTATTATACACTACTTGAAACTAGGACAGCCTTTCATCAGCTTAGCTGCTCAGTCATATAACTGTCGAGTGCTACTACAACATGACCCTTTTAATTGAATTGAAAAAATTAATGTTATTAGGTTATACTAGTATATTTCAAAATAACAAATATTTTTGTGTTGATACATCATACTATTCAAGCTTACTGTTATTAGCTTGGCAGCACTACAAATGTATTAACTGTCAATAATAGAGGGAAAACGAGTACTAGAGATGGAGCTGGCAGGATGCGTTCGCAGATATTCATTTGTGTTAATTATCGTGATTTAGCGCCATGAGGAATACGTTAATCAATGTATAAACGGAGTGTTTACTCCGGAACGTGCTATCTTACTTTGTTACAGACATGAAATAAATATGTAATTATTGTAGGTTGATCAAGTTCGATAGATGCGTGACTATCGATTTCACGATATACGAACAATGGCATTACTCTCCTGGTGCTGCTTAAGTTATTTGAGGTGTCCCTACCATCAGTGCAAGCTTATTTTAAATGTAATACTGAGGTGTCTTTGGGCTTGTGATAAATGTTATTCAAGGTAGTGTTTTTTTTATCAAAGTAAGTAGATGGTAACTAATACATTCCCATTCGGATTTAGGGTAACGGCTTTTAATACAGTGAGTAGGTATTAAGTGCAATACAGTTTCATTTAGACGGTTTTGGTGTCGGATTATTATAAGTAATCTGTAAGTAGACTCATTATTTTCTGCGGCGTTTACATCGCTATTTTACGATCATTCTGTGAGATGCAACCTCATCAAACTCTTACCAGGACGTGAAGGTTGTCGAATAGCATCGTACGCGTCGTGCTAGGAGGTCCAGAAACGTTATTATCTGTATCTGAATCCACTGAATTTTCGAATACACGCCCCATCTCTAGTCGACTAAGAAGCACAATAAAGAAAGGTTTCTTTCATTATTTTATATTCTACCGTTTATTCTGAAATTTAATAAAGCAAAGGCATCAGTATACACTCGTCTAAACCAGATAAGGTGTTTAAATAAATCGTAACCTAGAAACATGACTATGTACTTTGAAGGACGGCATGCAAATTAGGTACAGAAGCAAAAAGATTATTAGGATTATTAAGGAGTTGTTGTTATACCCGTATACACCAAACTAACAACCGATATATCATTTTATTAGATGTTTATGTTTGTTTTGAATTTGGTTCTATCATCTACATGTTAGGTTTAAGATGCATTTTCACAAAAACGTTTTCTAACTGGTCATTGTTGATACCGATTAAAGGTTTTGATCTCCGGATCGAGTGGAAAAATCTATATAAAGAACTCCTTAATTTAGTATGGGAATCAGAGGCCTCTCTTACACAACTCGTATATGTTCTCGCTGGTTTGATAGATATTTTAGGAGAAGTCAACAATATTCATTTGATCCATTACTAAAAAGGTGTCTTCTCATTGATCTATTATGATCCGGATCAAGATTCAACATCCCGCGGAACCTTAGTAAAATGGGAATGGGTATCAGTTATTTTGAAAAGTGGCATTATGTCGTTTTTTGACATTGAGCAAGTTTTTTATGACATTATCTATGTGTTCCTATAAGACGTCAATTTGGTACCGGCTTCAGTTCACTTCATGGTCAAGTGCGTGATGAATTTTTTGCACAACAGCCTACTTAGTCAACAAGTTGACATTTTATCGGTTTTTCTGGCCATTATACAGGTTTTTCACGTAATAACCCGTCCGGCCTTAGTGTAGCTAATAATCTGACACAGCTCGTCAACGATGTCAGTTTAATGGAGTCCTTGACATTAGTTACATTTGTGGCTTGAGCACAATGTTATTCTCTTTGTAGTGTTCTTCCTGAGGGACTCAGAATGTGTTACAGCGACTCATTTAAGTATAGAATTAAAGCGTTAAACCTTTCTGCAACATCGAACAATTTTTAAGTAATAACTTTTCGGATCTCTTATAATGGTGTTGTAGTGTGCTTTCTTTTAGTCTGTTTGTTGATTTGTTTGGATGTACTTGTTCTATAGTTTTGCATTTATTTTAAATTCATATTATGATCTTACAGTTCGTCTGTTAATGTTATTTTTTATAGTTTTCTGGTAATGTTTTTATTTTCAACAAATTTTTCGTTTTGTGAATTTACACTTTTGTGTTTTAACGCCAAGAAAGAAATCACGCTGTCTAACGACTTCACAGTCTGATTATGATGTAATAAAAAATTATATCTGAAGATTCATCCAAGTGATCGGTTTGTTTAGTATTGACAACTAGCGAAAAAGAGTGGAAGAAACTGACTCATAGTCTTAGTCAGCAACTGGCTCTTCAAATAAAAGAGGTGTGAAAAAACATAAGACTATTTTAGGTATGAATTGTGAACGGAACAAATAAAGACACAGGCAAGAGTGAAGTCTTCAAAAATACGCTTCAACAAAGCAAATTTTTAATTCCGTGACATTTTGTTGCAAGTCATGTACGCTCCTATTTATAATTCACACTACCAAACCCTCCAATTTCAAGATATTTTTATTCATTGCAGGAGAAGAGGTATGTTCGTAGCAAACATGATGTGGAGTCGAATTAATGTCAATGTCACTTAAGAAAAGAAGATACTACTAAACAGTTATTCATTCAAACGAAGTGATTTAGTCTTACTCTTTTGTTGTTACTTATATAGAAAAAAAAAGAAAAATCAGCCCACAAAGTTGTCTGAAATGATTTATTGAGCAGTTGTACAATAAATTAAGTAATAATTGTAACACCCCGTAAAGTGCGGTAGGTCACAGTTTGGGTCCTGCCACCTGTTGTCAAGTAGCACTACTAGCACTATTCAAGGTGTTACAATATTATTATTTTTATTTATTGTCCAACTGTTCAATAAATCATTTGAAACAAATTTGTCTGATGGGCTTTTATTTTATTTTTTTTTCAATAGTAATCACAACAAAAAAAATTAATCTCAACCTGCTACAACCATCATTCCAGCCAGGTTTTTAGCTTATTTCCATAGAAGATTTGTTCATCACGTTTGCTTATTCCATGGCATATTCTCCAGGCTTTCTGTTGGTATTAAATTCATTTACACTGCTTTGCTTGCCACCAACCGATTGTGAACTGAAGTAATTCGGTTTATAAGCCCAAAAATTCTGCTTCACGACAACGCTTGGCCTCACGTTGACGCAAGAACACTATCGTAACCGGGCAAGTGTTGTTGGGAATTACTGGATCATCCACCATACAGCCCAGACTAGGTACCATCAGGATTTCATCTTTTATCCAAAATTTAAGGAATTCTTGGTGGAAAGCGCTTGTTCATATTTTAGTTTGTGTTACAATTTGTGTTCATAAATAGAACTTCCGTGACTCCATTACATGACGACTCTTACTTAAGAATGACCCTCGTACATACACTCCCTCTCACGTAAACTATTTTCAAACAACAGCT